TGTTGGCCTTCCAGAGGAACACAGACGCCTCACCTCTGGTTGTTTGTGGTGTGACTTGTGGGAATTCTCCTTAAGGCTACACTTTTCTCAGTGAAGAGGAAGGTGATATAATTTTGAGGAAACAACAAGCATAAACTAGCCATCTGGGTGATTGGAAATGAATGGGTTAGAGAATAGTGTAATTGTAGGAGTGATTCTATATGATGATTTCACATGGGGATAAAAATTTGAAAAGTAGTCAATAAAAAACAGAAAATTGCTGTATGTCTAAAGCAAAATAGATATAATTAGAAACATTTTAAAGAAAAGCAAATTTTTTATTTCACACTATAATTCTGCATGGTTTTTTACATTAACATTAAATTACTGTGTTAGTGAAAATGAGTATTTAATACTGAAGGACGTCGTGAGTCTTCCTCAACCAGCAAGTGAAAGAATGATTGAATGACACATGTACAACCATAAATAGAAATAGACAGACAAAAATTAAATTCTGCCAGATCAGAAGTAACATCATAGAAGCCTTTTGCCTTTTTCAAGTGATTGAGAACATTTCTAACAAAACTGAATTGCTTGCAAAATCTGTGACCTATTTAGCAGCTAATTTTCTAACCCTTAGAAAAGTCTGCCATTTAACGTAAGTTGAATATTACAATCTTTGCAGAAGCGACAAGTAATTGCTTTTTTTATCCTATCTACAGGATTTTTGAGATAAAAACACATCTTTTTTAGTGGACTGGAATGCTACCATTTATTCTGTTAGTGGTAATTTTCTGATAATTAAGTAATCTAATGAAATGTTATATGTTTCCTCAGGCTTTGTGAAAATGTAATGTGCATCTTGTTTTCAAAGGTGATTCATTTGCATTACTCCACCAGAAATGTAATAAAGTAAGAAAAGTTAATAAATATTCATTGTGTGTTTATAAATAATAATTGCAGTTACTGTAATTTTGGAAAACAAAAATAGAGAATATATTTTGGCTTTTATTCTGCTACAGGGATTTCTGATTGGCATGCATGAATATATCCAGGACAAAACATTTTTAATAATGAATAATCATTATAGACTACATAATTTACTTTTATTATTTATTAAATAGTATAGGGCAAGGGCTGAAAAACTACCTATCAGGTACTGGGCTTCCTACCTGGGTGATGAGATCAACAGCACCCTAAACCTCAGCATCACTCAATACACCAATGTGACAAATCTGCACACGTATCCTCAAATCTAAAATAAAACTTGAAATAAAAACAACAACAACAAAAAGATTACACAGCCCATTAGGGCAAAGATATTTTTTGGAATCTTTTCTGATACCTGCAATACCCAACTGAATGTTACATTTTCAGTAAATACTTGTAGAGTTCTCTTATTAAGATGAGGTCTGTGCATGTTCTCATTTATAAGCTAGAGCTAAACAGTGGGTAAACATAGACATAAAGATGGCAACAACAGACCTGGAACTACCAAAAGGGGTACAATGGGAGGGGATGTGGTTGAAAAACTACATGTTGGGTAGTATGCTCACTACTGAGGTGATAAGATCATTTATCCCCCAAACCTCAGTGATAAGCATTTTACCCATGTAACAAACCTGCATGTGTACCCCAAGCCTAAATAAAAGTCAAAAAAAAAAAGAAAATGAGGTTTAAACCTAATCTTTTGGCCTATTTTGATTGGTGTTAGAACTATGACTATTTGTGAATAAGTAATAATTTTGCCCTTAGTTGTTCAATACAAGGGAAGATTTCACATGTATGGAACATATGCATTCGTGACAAGTTTCCTGCAATGTATAAAACTTTATTTTAAACTCTAAGATATCTTGTCCTTTGGGGAATAGGGGGGCATAATGTGCCACTTTAACATTGTTAACAAGGGAAAATATTAATCCAATTATTTTTTCCAATCGATAGTATTCTGGGTATTTTAATGGATCAAAAGTGTTATTAATAGAAAAGGCTTGAACCACTTTAGATTTATTCGAACCCATCTCATTTCTCCCCAGTACTTTATCCAATATTTTTATGCATTCATTTTGTTTTATCTCAAGCCTCAGATTTGATAACGCCTTCCTAGTGTGTTATCTGTATACAATTTGGAAAATAATTTTCTTCTGTCCACTTCCCACTTCATTCACGTATTTATCAATTTTATAGTGCATTCCCTCTTTGAACATGCTTAATTCACTGTCTGCAATGTGCAAAGTAGACAAAAATCCTAGCTCTCATAAAGACTTTGTTTTCCTAATCTGTCCTCAATGCCTTCAGAATCAGTTCCTAAGCTCCAGTGCCAATTTCTGCCTAAAACACAAGTGTAAATGAAGTCTATAGGAATAAAAAACAGGTCATTAATAACAATTAGCACTCTGAAAGCATAGAATTAAAAATTTTATAACAATTCACTTGGCACCAATGATATTTTATAAACACTGAAATGTACCTTTTTTCATTTAATTAATCACTAATTCAACATTTTTGGAAATGTGTGAATATCAATCTAGAATTTTATGGGAGATAACAAGCTCATAGTTTTATATCTTAAATCTCATCACACAGTTGATATTTTGCTTATTTCAAAACTCCAAAAGTTAGTTTGGTGGTTTATACTGTGATTTAAAACTGGCATTTTAGGTCTTTTTAAAAGTGTAATTTCTTGAGTCTTATGCTCTACCAGTTTTAGTGTGGAAGTAGCCCAAGGTAGTTTTATAGCAATAAGGGATGTCTTATTGAAGAAGCCTGCAAGTATTTTATGTTTTATTCTTATATTTCTTACTCCAAAACAATTGAAAAAGTACAAACTGTACCCAAGGGAACTAGCTCTCAAGTATTATCTGAAACTATTTGGACATACATTCTTTAGTTTTTAAATAAAATAATATGCATTCCATTCTTGCACTAGAAAAATTATTGAGTTGGTTTTAAATGAATCAATATACCATACCGGAGGCTTTGGATTGCTTTTTAATGCCAAGGAGATGTCTAGTAAGTCTAAAAGCTGACTATTACAAGTTTATTGCCACACTATGGGTACAATTTCAAATTACAAAGCAAGCAGAAAACTAAGAAAAAAAAAGCCAACATTCTTGCCTAGAGAGGCAATTGTGAACTTGCTTGAAGGCCAAACTTGGTTTATAAATTTTGGTCTCCTGGTAATAATGATTTAATATTATTTTAAGAGCATGAGCAAAGAACTACTGGTGTCAGGAGTAAGGGATTATATATTACTTACATAACTTTTTTATTATTGGTGCTTTTCTTTTGCTGCGTTTAAAGTGCTTTTTAAATATCCTCCTGACAATGCTAAAAACTCCTTTGTTCGCCATGTCAATTCCTTCCTTCAGAGTAGGAAAGTGAATTCAAAGTGTGTTATGGGCCAAAGGTCACATCTCTGATTCCTAGTAAGAGTAAGGGGATGATGCTCAGACACAGTGCTAACGTCTGTCATCCCCCTCTTTTCAATCTGTAGAGTTAAGCATATAGGCTCTAGCCATGATATATGTAAACTCATTAATGTGATTTACTACATAATGATTGGTCACCATGTATTTAAGCAACCCAAACTAATTCCACTCAGGTAGAAAAGTACAGAGTCAGGAGCAATTTAGATAAAACAAGGACTCTGTTGTCTTCATATCACTAAACCAAAGAAATGGCCTGGTACAGGTTAAATTCAAAGATGATTAGCTCCAGATCTGAAAACATCATCAAAATACCTTTTTATTCAGGATCCTTAATTTTGTTTTTATCTGCTGGTTATCTTCTTTTATCTAGGTAGATAGCAATGCAACCAGAAAACGAAATTAGATGGGCTTCCTAGTAAAATACACATCCACATTCACACTAAAGTAACTGTTTCAGAAAAAAATTAACAGCTGGAAAACTTATACCGTGTGTCACTCCTTTCATAGCATTGGTTTTTATTCCAAGGAAGAAAGACAAACCTAGGGAAGAATACTGATTGGCTAGGTTTGAGTCACATGCTTACTGCCATTGGCCAATGATTCTGCTACTTCAATTAACCAGCCACATAACAGCCACATGGAACCAAGGGTTGGAGTAAATGGAATACAGTAAAAGGAGAATTAAGTAGTCTGTCCTAAGGATGTGAGAGTTTAATATCGCCCCCAAAAGGGGAAAAGCTTCTGGACAGATAAAACATAGACAATCACTGAAATTATAAAGTGAAACTTCTACCACTAAAGACTTAATTGCCTCTAAAGTATCAGAGAAATCACGTTATGCCTGAGAGAAACAACAAAGCATGGAAAATTAAATAGATGTAGCAAGCGTGAATCATAGGAGATGAAACCACACAGGGCTCTTACAGCACCTGTCATAGTAGTATTTCATAAACATAAGTCTCAGTAAACATTATTTGATGAGGATAACCAAAAATTATCTAGGTGATTAGCAGTGCAATCAGCAAACTAAATTAAATGGACTTCCTAGAAAAATATGTCATGCATATTCATATGAAAGTAATTAATTCAGGGGTTAATGACATTTCACAAAGGGAGAACTAATTAGAAGAATAATTTAAAATATAATCTCATTAATGCTGATTAGCTTTATAATAGTTTATAAAGGAAGACTAAAGAAATCAAATAGTAAGAGAAATGGTGAAAATCATCTAACAAAGTAAGAAAAATATGTGAAATTGTCTCATTTAAAAGAAACAAATTAGCTTTCCTTCTGAAAGCGAATAGAAAACAAAAAAAAAACAAAAATGAGAAAAAATGGATGTTTTCTGGAAGTCAATAATTTCTATTAACTGTTTTATATATTAATTACAGTTGTTATAGAATACTTCAATAATTATGAACAAAATATACAGTTTTGCTTTCTTTCAGGGATAAAATTACCAAATCATGTAAATTATGAATAATTTAAAGTAAATTATTTGTAAAATCTATTCTTCATAATTTGATTTCAATTAAAATATCATTAATAGTGTAGCCACAACAACAAATAATAATGGAGGGAGAATTTTCAAACTATTACATCTTTCATATCAGATTATGAGGAATTTTATTTTTAACTCAACTTTGCCATAAAGTTAAATGGACAATATACTGAAAGCCTACGTTTATTTATGTAATCTTTTTCAATAATGGTCCTTAAAATATAAATTTCTTTCTACATAAAAATGTAACAGTAAACTTTAAACTCAATTTTAAAGCACTTTAAAAATTGAACAACAAATTAGATATTAGAAACAAACTGACTTTGAGAGGTATTTTCTTAAGAAAAATTAGCATCATATTTAAAGGCACCCACTTCCTCAGTTAGAGAATTCAGAAGTTTATTTTCCATGGTAAAAATCCATATTTTTAAAAATTTGAATGAAAAAGGATTGTTTTCATTATTCTCCAAAATAAAAATGAGTGAATCAGATTCCAAATTTCAAAACAAAACTTCCCACATATTTAGTACATACATAAACACACACAATCATGTGATATGTTAAAATTTATTCTTCTGTTATGCAAATGGTATCTTGATATCAAAAAGCTTATCAAATTATTTTTATCTTAAAGAGCCACAGAACTATTTGAAATTAGTTGAAATACTCAAATTGCCTTTTTTCTGGCCTTTCTGTTCCCACCCTTTACTTCCTTTTGTCTCTTCTCCAGCAAGAAGTCAAAATCCAATATATGTAATTCATATAATACTTTTTGGCTTGAAGCACTGCTGGGGTTCTCCCTTTTATTCAGAGTAAAAAATGAAATTCTTGCACAGTCCTCTACGCCCTGCCTTATCTGGTGTCCCCTTTCTGATCCCATTCCTCCCATCCCCACTGGACCATACTATTCCTGCCACACTTGCTTCCTACTGATTTGCCAACAACAAGGGACTGTGTGCCAACTGCCTTTACTCTAATGTCACCTTCTCAGTGAGGCCAAACCTCACCATCATATTTAAAACTGAATCTCACCACCCAAACATTCCTTATCATCTCTTACGTGCTCAATTTTTCCCATGGCACTTATCTTCTACTATGGGATATAAGTTATTTATATGTTTTATTTATTGCCTTTCTCCCTCTGCCAGAATGCAAACTCCAAAAAAGGCAAGAATGTCTGTCTGTTTTCTTCCCTGATATATCCCCCATTTTAGGTCCTCTTAGTTTTAGGTCTTCTGGAGATCTAGTCTCTGGGGATTTGGGCTCTTATACTAGCCACAGTTGCTATTGGAATAACCAAGTTTGTATGTCTAACTTCACAGGGTACAACCTGACAACACCTTACCTCATGCCCATCCTGTGCTCGTCTTACCTGCTACTCCCTGGGCTTCCCCACTGAAACTGATCCAGTGAGATGCTCCAGTGTTCTTTATGCTCTGGCATATGCAATTCAGAAATGTAGGGAAACTAACAATCTCGCTATAAAGAGACAGAAGCTAGTGAATAAATTATTTCCCCTTATCAGACTATCTGGAGAAGAAATTATTTACATATGCTCTCACGAAGCAGCACATAAAATGAAGCAAAAATTTATCCTTGACACTCAGCAGTAGCCAGATTATGCAGCCCTGCATTGGTTTTCTCTCCATTCCTTCTTTACTGCTGTATTCCCTCACCTCTGCTCCCTGGGATTCTATTTCCTGAAAAGGATAGAAGCACACTAGCTTTTGTCTGAGGCTTTGCTTTCTGGAGAACCTAGGTTAGGACAGCAGATACTAAATAAGTACTTATTTATTGAATAAATCAATGAAAATTAATAATACCAAATGGAGGCATAGAAATTTTGAGTGAGTTACATTTATGTCAGTATACATACCAAAGAATCAGACATTATATCAAGCCTGAAGAGAAAATACTTATCCAGGAGTAAATTTATAACAAGAAAACTAACATAAATGCACAATATGATCTAAATTTGTTTCTTTACACATGGGAAGAAAATAAATCTTATACTGTAAAACATAAAAAAATCCCTCAGTACCTTAAATGCAGTATTTTTGCGGTGGGTATTTCTAACAACTTTGCAAAGATAACCATCTTTGTCTACTAGTTTTAGAAAAAAAAAAACAACCCTCAAAAATCCAACATGAGTTCTTATGGACTCATGATTATGTGATTTATATATCCACTAGATATTTTACCTTTTTTTCTTAAGCAATTTTATCATCCATCTAAAAAATATGATCAAGACAGGCATTGAGATAATAGAATAAATTATTATATGTATTTTAGTGAGTTATTATCTTCATTTTAATTTAAGACAGAAGCCTTTTACAATAAATAATTGACTGAGATTTGTTAAACATACATTTCATGAGACATATCTCATTGTCTTCAACATCTTTTTATTTATATTGTATAAATTATCCTAATTGTTTCACAGAGTAAATGCCTTCATTATAAAAATGATTGCAATATTTTAGTCTAGGGTTATCTTTTACATATGAATGAAATGATTTTCTCTCTATATAACTTTAAATTTTTAATTTTAGAGCTTTAGATTAAAAAATTATAGTATCTTTAGTGATGATAAAAAGATATTACATTTTGAAATTTAAGAATTACTGTCATAAGTAACATTCCTCAAAGTAATACAATTTTGATACTCAACAAAAATATTTATTTAACAAGCAAGTGAGCAATTGAAAAGAAATTTATTCCTCTAAATTACATTTTACTTCTAGCATATGCCTAGAAATTTGGCAAAAATAGAGACAAGAAATTCATCTACATCTTTAGGAAGTTAAAAACTATCTTCCAGAGAGAAATTTTTGCACTTTCAGCTGAATAATGAGACTTTGCTTTTATTGGTCAGATATTTTATCTAAAGACATACAAACTTATTAATAAGGATAAATAAAAATAGATAGATTTGACTATTTTAGATGCCCCATGTAAGTATAATCATGCGGTATTTTTCCTGTGACTGGCTTATTTCACTTTGGCATATAGTCCTCTAGGTTCACCTATGTTGTCATAATGGCAAGATTTCCTTCCTTATTATGGCAAAATAATGCTTCATCATGTTTATAAACCACATTTTCTTTATCCATTCATCTACTGATGAACATTCAAGTAGTTTGCATCTGCTGTTGAGCATAATTTCATAATATTGGAATGCAGATATCTCTTTCAGATCTTTAATTTTTCTATTGTAGTTTAATATATCAAGATACACTGAGATGAAAATATTCTACATAAAAATTTTACCTCTCATTAGAGATTTTCTATTTTCACACATTTATGTAAAAGTAAGTATCTAGCAACAAAGTGAAATGACTAATCAAACCCCATTTTTTAAGTAAAAGTTCCCATTAAGGTATCAAACATAAAGGCTTAAAAGGATGAGTAAACAGATTTTTGGTATTGCCACTAAAAAATAAGTCCATGTGGCCTTTACAAAAATCCATCCTTACCACTTAAAATTCTGAACTGCAGCTAACATGGGGGATAAATGGGAAATGGGTGGAGAGAGGGAGAGAATCAAACAGTTTCAGTTTGTTTCAGTTTAAAGTTTTCACATGAAACACTGAAAGGACAATAAACTCCTGAACTCCAAGGACTGATTCCTACCAGCCTCTGGACCACTCAGGTCATTGTACTATGACAGGGCAAGTGATGTGTTAACATCCTCTAAATGAATGTCAATACTACTGAACTTTTTCCCACAGAGTTCTTTTGTATTCATATACTAGATAGCTTTCATAACTTTAGTTTTTTGGCTTAATCATATCCCATGGTCACTATCATGGTTTAAGTATTAAACATAATGGTAGGTGTTATAAGAACTTTACAGATATGAAGTCATTTAATTTTCATTAACTGTATCTTTATGAGTTAGCTGCTATATTCAAATTCCATTGGTGGTCAGAAGAATACTCAAGGCTATGGGTTCCTGTCATGGTAGGAACTACATGGAATGTATCTGTGTAGTGTCCCTGCTGCTCACCATACCTAGTACCTGGGACATACCAGATATTCCATGTTGGTCCCTTGAATAAAGCAGCAGTCCCCGACCTTTTTGACACCAGGGACTGGTTTCGGGAAAGGCAATTTTCCCTGAGCAGCAGGGTGAAGTGGAGGAGACTGGTTTCGAGATTAAACAAGCTCAGATCATTAGGCATCGGATTCTTGTAAGGAGCTTGCAACCTAGATCCCTTGGATACGCAGTTCACAATAGGGTTCGCATTCCTATGAGACTCTAATGTCACCACTGGTCTGAAACTAAAAGCATAGATATGATTCTAGATTCGACTTAAAAAACATCTCAGTTATGGTTCTTTTTTATTTTTTATTATACTTTAAGTTCTGAGGCACCTGTGCAGATCGTGCAGGATTGTTACACAGGTACACAGTTATGATTCTTTATTCCAGGGGTTCCCAATCCCTGAGCCAGCTCTGGTCCGTGACCTCTTAGGAAATGAGCCACACAGCAGGAGGTGAGCAGTGGGTGAGTGAGCATTGTTGCCTGAGATCTTGATTGTATTTATTTTTAATAATATACCCAGAAGTGAGACTGCAGTGTTGTAAGGTAGTTATGTTTTTAATTTTTTCAGGAACCACCGTACTGTTTTCCATAGCAGCTGCCCCACTTTATATTCCCACCTGCAGTGTTGATTTCACTCACATGCGGCATCTAAAATTGTCTGACTCACAGAAACAAAGAATAGAATGCTGGTTTCCAGGGTCTAGGGGCACGGGAAAGTTGGGGTTTCTGGTCAATGTGTATAAAGTTTCAGTTATATAAGACATACAAGCTTTAGAGATCTGCTGTATAAAATTATGGCTATAATTATACTGTATTTTACAATTAACAATAGAAGAGATCTCAAGTTGTGTTCTTACCAGAATTTAAAAAAAAAAAAAAGATGATAAAGAAAATAAGGTACAATAGTTTAATTGTGCATGCATTTTTTCTGGAGTGATATCCACACTCTGCAGAGATCAGGAAAGACTACTGAAAAGGTTGATAGGTGTATGTTAGAGACATCTATTGATTATTCTGCCATCCCTCTTCTTAAAACCTATTCTAATTTTCATTCAAGTATAGACCCTTAACCTCTGACCGAAGAATAGGTCCTAGTTTCTCTGGAGCCATCAGCACATTTCATTCCACCTTCCTGAAGAAAGGCTCAGAGTGAGTATGTGACCACCCTACCCACAAGCAGTGTGACTCTCAGACTTCTCAATATAAACACTGGAAAAGTGATAGACTGGCTGTGCATACCAGATGTGGTTCAGTAGCTTTCTTGCTTAAGGGTAATCAACCCTTATAAAAAGTCAACAGATAGAGAAGGAAAATTCTCAGAAATGATAGACAAATAAACCCTACTCCCTGATAAAACCCATCTAAAACTTTTTCTATCTGTGGAGACTGTTAACCTGAGACAATAATTCCTGTTATTACTTAGGCAAATTTGAGTTGGGTATTCTGTTATATGCAGTGGAAGAATCTGTTATATAGATAATAATTATTCAATATTATATTTTCAAGGATTTCTTTTGTTTCAAAATCTTGCTTTATCTAAGAATTTCTCAATGTTACTTTAAAAGTAAGTACATTCTAGTTCAATCAGTAAAAGCTAGGTTTGATTTATCAGTAAAGCATAGATATGGCTATAATTGAAATGTATTTACACACTTATTCAACCAACTCATTCATTTTAAGAATCCAACAGACAGCCTAAGGAACCTGAATGCAAGATTGTTATGACATTACATGTCAACTACTCCAGGCATTATTCTAAACTAAAAATGTTTTAAGGGTCCACAGATCCCTGTAAGATGTTTTACTGTCTTTATATTCCACTTACTTACTTTCCATATATAGATGTATAAATTCAGAGAAACAATCAAGAGTATAGATATTACCAAAATTATGATTTGAATAATTTTAAACAAATTCAATAACTAAACTAATAGTATCATAAAATCATGTCTAATGTTAGATACACAATTAAAAGAGAAATGTCATTTGTATCATAAAGTAGTGGGCAGGTTTTCCCTGCCATTCTAAACCTATGAAGGAATAAATTTATTCACAAGCAACATAGTAAGCAAAAGAAGAAAAGGTGTTCAGGGGCAATGGCTTAAAAGGGTCAAATCACAGCCCGAACTGCCGAAAGTAAGCACAGTGCCTTTATACTCCAGTGCGTCAGGATGTCATACCTATCCTGCCTTCCTCTCAACAGAGTGATTTTTTTAAAAGATGAGAAAAAGTTGGGATAAAAAAGGGAAAAATGAATATGAAAGTACTATGTGAAATGCTTCATAAAAATGAGATTACCTTTATTATTTTTATTATCATGTATTCGTGTGGGTTGACCTACGCAATTTTAAAAGATGTGTTGAAGTACTAATTCCTGCTATCTGTAAATGTGAACATATTTATAAACAAGGTCTTTGCAGATGTAAGAAAGTATAGAAAATGTCATACTAGTTTCAATAACTAGTGCTGCTATAAAGAGAGATTTGATACAGACAGAAACACACACAGAGAGATGACAAGGCAGAAATTACAAGGCAGCGATGCAACCAAGAAGCGTGAGAGAGAGATTGCCGGTAGCCACTGGGGGCTAGGAGGAAGCAAGAAAGAATCCTTTGCTAGAGCCTTCAGGAGGAGGATGGCCTTGGCGATGCCTTCATTGTAGACTTTTAGCCTCTGACTATGAGACAATACATTTCTGTTATTTTCATAACATAATGTTATTTGTTACCACACTTTGTGATAATAAGTTACCGCAGCCATAAAAAATACATTTATCTGAAGAAAAACAAGTTGCTCTGGAAATAGATACATTCTGTTTTGAACCCCTGCTTTTTCACTAGGCTATGTTTTCTGAATCAAGATTTTTTATTTTGTGTTAGTGGCTATTTATTCTAACTCTAGAAAAGGCAGTAAATGGTTTTTCTTTTTTCAGAGTGGGACAATGCAGAAAAGCAAACCTAGTGATGTTCAGAGCAGACGAGATCAGCACCTGCCTCTCCCAGCTCTTCGCATTGCAGCCCACTAATTGCCTACCTAAAATCTCAGCCTGGCCATACTTCAAAGACAACCCCAATATAAGGTGTATAGTATTGAAACCTCATCAGTCTGCATTGGTTGCACTAGTTATTTATCCAAGCTAGGGGTTAAAATACCTGGTGTTAATCATCAGCTTCTGCATTATGCTTAAATTCCTTCCTCCTTTCAGTTATGCCCAGCCTCCAGTGGCCTAAGGCTCACTCCCATGCAGGTTACATTCCATTTGCATCCCCATCTCCACTTTCCACCTTTCTCTACCATGTTTCTGTAGGAGAAGGCTGAGCTATCTGTCTACTTAGCAGGCTCCTGTGGGCCGACTTTTGTTTGGGTTGAGCAATGAAAAGCCAAGCAGGACATAAGAAAGAGGGAGGAGAATGAGATGGGTTATTTTCTTGTATTGGCTTTTGCCATGAGAAGTCATTACGGGCTAACACCTTAAGCAAAGGTCTCCATCCAACTATCTCCATCTGGGCTTCAGCAACACCCCCCCTCCTTTCCTGACTCAGGACTCTCTGCTGAAGCTCCTCCTGTTTACTAGCCCCAGCTTACTCTATCTTCATGATTTCTTTATATCTTGAGTATAGTTTTGTCAATAATCCTTTTTATTAAAAAAAAAAAAAAATCCTCCTCAAATCGTTCAATTTGGGTATGTC